GATTTATTGGGGCAAATGCAACACGTCATTACCAACATGACGTATGCCAGAACTGAGTCAGCTTATAAAAAGCACCGCGATAAATTCCAGGGTTTGTCCACGCGTGGCGAGAGAACCCAATTGTGGGCGCATTTTTTATGAGAACTGGGACTCCTACGTCGATATGTGGGTGATGGCACCCCGTACCGATCTGCCGCGCTTCAATAAACACACGTTGAGAGTTTGTTCGGGAAGGTAAAAAAGTGCATTCACGGGCAATTCTCAATGTGGGGGCGTTTGGTCAGTGTGTTGAGCTGGCAGCAAATAAATGAGAGAGGGTACAATGCAAAAGTGGAGATGCCCGGAACATTGAGGCACATAAGAACTCGGAAGAGATGAATACTGTACTTGGGTTGGGTTGCGTCTGCATTGGAGACCCAGTTTAACATTGCTGTGGGCCCAGAATTGTACTCCAGGTACACATGCGTCGACAACGGTGATTCCGTAACTATTCAAAATGGAGATCACGAGTACGAGGTACAGAAAGAAGAGTTACAATGTGGCTGTAAGCTCGCCCAAACGATGAAGCTCCCGTGTAGGCATGTCATGGTGCACTGCGTGTCTTCTTCCGCAGTAGTGATATTTGCGACGTTGTTGCATGCATCGAGGAAATGATGTTTGTTGCTACTTATGAAGTTCGAGATCGTTGGGGCAAGCAGCAGTGTGTATGGCGCTTAGACGAAACGTTTCAGTCAGACTGTGTGCGATTTCGCCTGCCTAGAAGTCTGGTGACGGGGCTCTCGCTCAGTTTAATAAAGCCAAGACCGCTCTCAACAACGGATCTACTTTACATGAGACCATTATCATTGCCGGTGAGGATGGCATGGTGAGTTCATGGGGTAGCGTCGATTGACAAACTGGGCGATTTTACGCGTGAGCAGCTGGTTGCGAGGAAACGAATCTGGATCCTGCAAGATACTTGCAAGAAGGGAGGCAAATGCTGTAGCTGGATTTCAAGCCAAGTCAAACAACATCTACCTGACACTATGGATACCACCCGTGTAGTATCTAAGCTTCTTCTGAGCTATCCTGATGACGTAGTCTCGAGCCTGGAATTTAATCTCAGCTACTCCGAGCTGTACCGTTTCAGGGAAGGCACATGGTTGAATGATGGAACGGCTCGGGCCCTTACTCAATTTCTACAGAGCACCTGCAAGAATAACGCCACGGTACTTTATCATCAGAAACCACCAGTGCCATATCAGAACAAGTAATTTTGGATGACAAAACGAGGGAGGAAATCTACTCGTGTTTGGAGAAAGACTCTGTTAAGTATTTCTTTTTACCTGCCAACTTTAGCTCAAGTCACTGAGCGTCCCTTGTTGTCGTCAAGGAGGCCAAGAAAGCGTACGCCTATGATAGCATGCGTGGTCGGAAGACTGAAGCAATTGGCAACTAAGATCAAGGACATCATACGCTCAGGAAGTTGTCAAGACGCCAAGACAAAACGACAGTGACAATTGTGGCATCTTCGTGCGCTTGTTCTTCTGGAAGATGGCTTCAAGCGAAGCATCAACAGATTTGTCACCTACTGGCATTATGTTGCTGAGGTGGAAGATGCTACTGGCAGTGTTGAACATGCCGCCGCAGCCAAAACGTAGGGTGGAAGACTAGTTAGTCGAGTGATCTTGCATCAATACCCATTGAGCATACGAACCTGGGATAAACCTGTTTAATACATGGTTATGATGAAGGGCAGTTATTGGCTAGCATGTGTGACAGCCGCCCGACAAGGAGTGCTCGCGATCAGTCTAGAATATGACAAAGTTGTGCTCGTATGATTATTCCAGGTATTGAACCTGGAGTATCCCTGTTTTGGTAAGATAAACATATATTTCAAAGGGGTTCCAGCAATATTCTAATACCTGGTACATCGCTGGCCGCATCCCTGAACAATAACTGCATCTGATAAAATCTGATAATATAATATAATGGGCTTTAGAGTCGTCCTAGAAAATATTTACTAATGCCGTGCGTTACCAGGGAAGCTCTGGATATTATCGAAAATATTGCCCTTCCTCATTGTTTATTGAAGTCATCCTTCAAATCTTACGTACTGCTGCACCTAATTAGAGGCGATGCTTAGTCTGGGAGGGCAGTGATTTAAAAATAAAAATGCATGTACGATTTTGATCCGTTGCTGTCAGGAGAAACGCGTAAACATGTTGGCATTTTCACGCTTGCTTAGTTATTAAGTAAGTACACTGCAACTTCAGTGCTCCCAGTGGGCGGGCAAAAAAGACGATAAATCGGTTTTCTAAACCAAAATTTAATACCGGATAAACCAATAACTTATATCGATGTTTGCATTTTTGACAATATCGTTCTATTCGAGAGCGAGCTAATGGATATGAACGCTCGCTGGTACGGCATCACCGAACCTGAGAAGGGCATGCCAGACACAAGACAAAATAAAGAGCGATTGTAGTGTTTACACTGTATGTAGCAAATTTAACTACATCGTGGAAAAGAAGCACAGCCAGAAATTTGGGATACAAAATCCTGAGAAAACAATCTTGTGCTTAATGTAGTACGTCAGTCTCCGATTCGCTATCAGAAAAATGGACGAATGTCGCCGTGCGGATCACACACCAATGTCCTCTCATGCCCCTGGTAAGCTTGACCATCACCTTCAAACTCCTGGTGCTATCCACGAGCGATTAAACGTTGTGTCGGAGCTGCATGCTAGTGATGATCGAGCCCCTAGCAGATCTGGTCAGATGACGCCATAGACACCTGCCCAAACACCAGCCAATCGTCAGTCTAAAAAGGAGTTCAAGGACCGGGCAGCTATCGTCTCGTCAGCGAAAGCAGCCACGACATTATAGTCCTCTCCATTGGCACCCTCAACGGGCCAGCGCGAGCAGCGGAGAACTAGTCAGTGGAGCACGAAGAAACGTCGATCAACTGCACCACGTGCCGAGGGTACATGACTGTGACCTTGGTGAGGCTCGCAATCAACGTGGCGCGAACGAAGTTCTCAAACGTGAAGCTGGCAATGGCTGTGCAGCTGACCTTTGACGTGTGCAGCATACCCAGTGTGCATCACAGTGGACGCAGTGGTGTCAAGGACATTACGCTGATACGATGACAGGGGCGACATCGGCGACGATACCGACGACCACGATGTCCGCAACGTGCACAGGGTACACGACTGTGGTCTCGGTGGCGCTGACGCCGTTCTCGAACGTGAAGCTGGTAATGGCTGCACATGCCTTGGTGTGTGCAGCATACCCAGCATGCGGTATTTTAGACGCGGTGATGCAGATGCCAAGAGCGACGCAGTCTTGATGGCGGTGTCGGGGATGTTACGTAGGCGTAGACCTTGGCACAGGTCTGACGCAAGTCAACGTACACAGATTTCGATGACAGATGTGACTTCCATGGGAGTGTCTGCGTGTCTACGACCTTAAAGGTATTACGGTAGGCAGATATTATTGAGAGGGGCTTGGCGACATGAGATATAAGATTGAGGGAGACCGTAGTCGCCAATGAACCCCAGACGCGTAGTTGTCGTTTTTTCATTGTGATAGCGACTATATGTTCTTAGATACTCGTGTCAATCAGTTAGCTAAATGACCTCAACATTCTAGATACTTATATTTTACTCAGTACACGGACGCAGGAAAAATGTCCGTTCTTGCCTAGTGCAATATTCGTGTCGATGATGGCGACACTTGACGGCTATTCGTACTCCGAAGCTTTATCCTGGTGCATGCCCTTCATTCAAGTGATAGGAACGGAGTGGTATGTGGACCACATTTTAAGTTGACAGAGTTTACGACGTGAATAAAGTTTAGGCTAACGTTTTCCACGTTTATAGGGTTTTGGAAACGTTAACAGCTCTAATTGCGCAGTAAATGATGGGCTTCGAGCTCACTTGTCAAAGTTCAATTGTTAGTAGCTTGATGAAACGCATCAAAACTCATTCTGTAGCGGCGCCGAAAGCGTCCAGGGCGGTCCATAACCTTAGCAACGTACCGGTTCCACACAAATAGTGGCCCCGCACGTTTTTCGCATCGCTCATTCATCGTATTCATAAGTCCTAGCGCCCACACACTTACCAATTCGGCTTCCTCGTCTGGCGCTTACACGCTGTTCATAGCCAACTGCAACGTCATTGTGTTCACTCTTGTCATTTTTTGAACGAAGCGAGGTTCATGCGCGGATGGATCCCGTGCTGTATGAAATTTAAGAGCTCTTATTATTTTTAATAGATAACGTGGACAACACAAAGTCCCACGGCTCGGTTCTTATCTTGGGGTATTGGGATGATTCAACCACCTGGGATTTCTCCCGGCAATATAAGAACGGACTTAATACTCAGTATTACATATTTCCTGTTATTTCGACCCCATATCTTACTTAAGAGGTCGTCATTCGCACTTTAGTGGATTCTCTCTTAGGGTAAGTCAATGAAAGATTTGCGCTATTGTATGCGCGTTCATTCAAAGAATCGCGCACGGAAATTTTGAGTAGAACGCACAATATTGGGAGGACAGCTTTAGTTGGCTGAACAGCCTCACCAATCTAATTAGAGCGGCCTGGGAACCCCCCCCTCCCCTTAGGCAAATATCGCCTGAGTCCATAGTCCACCGAGTTTGGCTGTCAAAAACAAAATAGTTTTAGTAAGTCTGGTGACTCGTGGTCTTCGTGAAGTCGCCTGAAGAATCGAATTTGCTCCACGTATTTCGTTGAGATCGCTGATGCTTCTCGGCTTTTTCTTTACTTCTTATTAGAAGAGATCTTTGAAGGAATACTTAGGCTTTACAGCTTGATAGCGTTGATCAACGTATACATAAATCGTAAGCAAGAGTAACTCACTAAACATTTTTTAGCTTACGGATGACTTGATTTGAAATTAGGGGGTTGTTCTTGGCGTTGACGGCCCAGACTTTTTATGTAGGTTTCGGAAGGCACCCTGTTATTATGAAACTTTGAGACGGTCTTAAATGATAAAAATGGATTCAAGGTACAACTTCAAGTGCTTTTGACGAGGTTTGCTTAGTAAACAGAGTTTACAGTTTGTTTGCAAACTTTTCTCTGTGTTAAGATTTTTAAAGCTTAGCGCGTTTAGACCCCTAAGCCCTAACGGCTCTATTTGTAATACAGTAGTACTAAAAAAGGTTTATACTGTAATAGGGCATTGACGGTGGTTGCCGAGGAGTCAAGCAGTAGAGAGCACGTGGGAGGTATTGGGTACGTCAGTGAAGTGAGCGGTTACATGGCGTCAGTTGGTGTGGCGAGCGGAGACCGCACAAATGCGATCTTGTATCCAGAAGCGACGCGTGAGAGTTGCGAGCCAATCAGGAGTGACCAAAGATCGCAACACGAACCCAACGTGCAGAGGAAAAGCGACGAGAAGACGGAGAGCGGTGAGACTTCGAGATTTGCGCAGGAGAGCAGTAGCAGATTGAATCTCACTTCGAGATTTGCGCGGTCGAGCACAGAGGCGAAGTAACTGCGAGTACGGAGAAGTGCGAGGTAGTGAGTAGGGTGCACGAAGCGGTCAGAGGACCAACACGAGAAGAGAGAAGGAGAAGAGAGAGAAGAGGTGCGATTGGACGGACGATCAGTCGTCAGTGCATTGGTGGACGCGTGGGGCAACGACAGCGACGGGCGACGAGACCAGGAGGAGAGGACCCTCCGAGTTACTGTGTGGCTGCGAGCCGTAGGGTAGGCGCCAGAGGCGTAATCCAAGTGGCTTTAGTAAGCGAGGTTTAGTGGGACCCGAATCGTCGGTGCTTTGCGTGGACAGAGTTGTGCTGGGGGTGGATTAGAAGGACAGGAGCACGGAGAGTGGGCGCTCGATAAGTTACGGACGCGTGGCGAGTCGGAAGCGTAAGAGTGAGACTGAGTAGCGGTGTATTCCGGGAAAGAAGGCCCAGAGAAGAACCGTGGCAATAGGTCGAGAGTTGAGAGGGTGAGTCAGGTGAGTGAAAGGCACGCCACCGAGAGCGAGTTCGCGGCTGCTAGTCACAACAGGCCAGAGTCACAAGAGTTGAGGAGAGAAGTAAATAAAATAGGGACGAGAGTCCCGGCACCTTTGCGAGGGGCCTACAGAGTGCGTGAGTTGCATTGAGACGGGCTACCCAACAAACCGAACTACTGGTAGTCCACCGCAGGAAGCACAGACAATATACGATCCGCCAGCAACGGGGCGTAAGCGGGTTGTCACATGGTGGTCATACAGGGGCATTCGTCAGTCAAACGAGGAAGTGTCACGACGAAACGAGTACCGGAAAGTGGGAGAACGAGTGGTACTGCGGCAGACGAGATGTCGTCAACGTCTCCGGCACGAACAGTAATGAGAAGACGAAGGTCGAAGGATGTTGAACGACAAGTCGACGACTTGGTTAGTTTTGCTACACAAGCGAGCTCCAAGAAACAACGAAAGAATGGGCGTGAGGAGCAACGTCAAGGAGAACCAGAGGCGACGCCAACCGAACAGACGTCTGTAGTTGAAGAGGCCTCGGGATGTGAAGAATCGAAGCAAAGCGACAGCCTCAGTAACAAGACGCTCGAGTTAGTGGATGTTGCACGAGTATTGCATGGACTGACAGCGATGGTGGCGGGGTTGCAGCCTAGCATGGCTGACAGTCAAGATGAAGTCAGGGACATCCGCAGTGGAGAGAGGCAAACCGATGACGCAGGAGGCGGTGCATCCCAGAGCGTAGCGATGATGACAGGGGACAAGACCAACGATGGAGAGTCGGTGGCGACAGTGGCTGCGGCACTACAACAACTGACAGGTGCCATGACGAATCTGCAGATGCCTCAAAGTGGAAGTCAGCGGGCCGAGCGCCGAGAGCGACCGTCAGTCGAATGGGTGACAGTGCGACAGGAAATCCAGCGATTGGCGGAAAGGGTGAAGACACTACAAATGCAGTCGAGTCATGACGAGTTACATGGACCAGAAGAAGCCGAGGTACATGAAGGGAGACGCGAGCAACCTGCCGATGCTTCGACAACACCATCCCGTCACCACAACCGAAGTCGAGAGCGAAGAGAAGTGCAACGAGAGCGAGGCCATGTCAATCACGGGGAGCATGGAGAACGCAGAGATGATCGACGCGGACAGCGAGAGACGGTGCGGAGAAGACGGCGGGTAGATCCATCTCCACCGGACGACAGCAGCAGCTCTGACGAGTCACGAGATGAAGACCGACATCGAGATAATAACCGTAGAAGCA